CATCCATTTGGTACGTTCCACGTCAATACTGGATCACTTTCTATTATATTCGAAATAGCACCACCAACTAGAATACCCATTACTCTTGTACCACTAAAATTCAATCAATGTAATAATAATTATGATATTTAAAGTTTTTCCATACTCGGCTTTTTTTCCGGAATATTCTAGGCCGTGAATGTTGCCTTGATCAATTCTCTTCTTCGTCACAGCGTCAACTGATAATTTACCAGAAGCCGTCATCACGTCTCTAAAGTTAATAGCAGAATAATAAATCTGTAAGTTAAATAATTAATATAAATGTATTAAGTTAAGTTAAATTTTCATACTTCTACGAATTTATTATTATTTAATGTTTCATGACTTTTAATTGATCCTTCTAACCAAGCCAAAGTTGAAAGATCTCCAATGTTTAGCACATTTGCATAGTAATGATCACACTTTTGAAATTCCAATTTTTCTGCATATGTTAACAACATATGTCTGTATGTTCCCCAAGTGCTTCCTCTCAATACGTTAAATGTCATACCCTTCTTCAATTGCTCTTTAAAAAACTCACTTTTTTCATTAAAATTTCTTCCTTTCTGTATGAAAATGCAGGATACATTATTTTTATCATCTTCGCACCTCAAGCAGTTCACCAAACCCAAAATACCATTGGTCGGATCTTTATCGGAATAAAGCAAGATTCTCTTCGAGGACTTCAAACAGTTTTGCACTTGTGGTAGCCAACTCTCATAATCATCGTTTACTTCTATGTAAATAGGTACTTGATATTCTTTAGTTACTTTTATTAGATGGATAAATACCCCTGATGGTAATTTGTATTTAGTCAATATAGTTAAGTGTTTGTTTGGAGGAGCCACCACTTTATCGAAGGATATTATGTAACCTTCTTTAATTATATAAGGTAAAGCTCTTTGCATACTTTCATAGTATCTTAACAAATTGTATCCGATGCAAATCAACGCGCTTTGTTCTTCTGGAGGTTTATTCGTAATTTGAACACCGTTGATGTTTTCGAGTTTCTTTAGGGAATAGATTGTAATATTTGCATGAACTTTAATTATATTATTTAGAATTTCTTTAAGATGTATTGCAACAGGTTGTAATGTTGATGTTTTGGCATCAAAAATCTCCAAAACATTTACATTTACCATTGAAATATTTTCCAATATGATCTGCATGTTAACTATCAATGATTCCTCCAGACTCAAACTTGACTCATTTGGTATAAACTTGTACGTCTCCAATGTGGGATCGTTATGTGTTTTCCTCTTTATAGTGATCTTATCATACAAAGATGTTATTTCTACATTTTTTGACCTGGCAATATTGTAATTAATTTCCACAGGAATAGCATTTTCTTTGCCCATATCTCTGATTTGATCCATATGACCTTTGGCATCGATGACAAGTTTACCCAAACCTATAGGTATATATATGTTTCTAGAATCCTGTTGTAGTTCCATGAACTGCAATATGTTGTCCAAAAAAGTAACCCAATTTCCATTCCATTCAATAAAAGCCTTATTTCCAATCATCTTTTGCAATCCTCTGAACTGGTCTCTGGTTAAATGTATAGTTTTTAGATGTTTAAAACTTTGAACACTATTAAAATTAATACTTACTTGTGGTCGTAACCTCTCAGAGTCATTTCGGTATATATATCATTCTTTGTAAGCACTGGTANNNGATTCTACCTGTAACCAAAGTTGTGTTTCTTTGGGATACTTCAAAATACCCGGTCTTTTGAATAGTTAAGTAAAAGCTAAAAGTGCCATCTTTAGCTATTGTCGACGCTATGTGAAATCTAACGTCTTCAAAGCAAATCTTCATATTTTGCATCGATCTATCTTTAATTGAAGCGTAGAACTCCCATATAAGGAATAAATATCCAGTAGCAGGAAAAATAGTTAGTCCTAAAAATGAAATATTTATTATAATTGTTAGAAAACTCGTACTAAATTATACCATTAAAAACGTGTCCTTTGTAGAAGCTAAATTGATTATTAGATGTGTTTATATGTTTTTCGGTCTCGTTATTTTCATCAACTTTATATTTTGGTGTCCGAAAGTCATGATCATGGTTCCATTTGATCAATGGAGAAATCATCGCCGTTCCTCTCTTAACTGGCCATTGAATTGGATACAACTTTCCCAAATCGAAATCCATCCCCAATTCATACAATTCTCCCAATTTAATTAACATATCGTCCACAGTCGTATCTTTACGAATCATATGAACTACTTGAAGAAAATTGTCCGCACATTCAAAATCTATACCAATAATAACATCTTTGTTACTCCATTCATTTGCAGAAGAATTGAGTAAGTTGTTCACAATATATTTGTCAGAAACATATCGAAAATTATCAATGTTTTTTTCTGATAAACTATGTTTAGTTAATTCCTTCTGCAGCATGACTTGGCTAAGTTCTTCACTCAAAAATTTTGTTGTCCCATTACTTTTTCCAATCAATCCTTTTCCTATCAAAATAACTTTATCCAGACTGAGAACTTCTGCAGCGTATGCAGCAGTCAGTTGGCCAATCGAAGAATAGATAATTTTACAAATACGAACATTCAATGACTTTAAGGTTTCTATTATGCAGTAGTGCAAGCAGATAGTTCCAAAAAAATTGTTTGGTTCATTAAAGTCTTCACAGATGTTATTCTTCTTCAAAGCTAATTTGAATCTAAAATGTAAATAGGCGTAATTA